CTCTCCTCTCTCGCTCTCCCTGTATAACCACACACACAGTTTTATTTATGTATCACAACTCTTTTTAGTATTATATCCTAATTTTTGAGATGCATCTAACCTACATTTTCAACAAATGCCAAATGACCAGATGTCAAATTAATATTGCTCCAAGGCCAAAGTCAAATATCACTAATTATGGTGTGATGAACTTAGAGGATACAAAAGTAAATATAAAACTTTATATTTAAAAATTTAAAAAATTTTTGTAATGTTTATTTTATATTCGAGAGAGAGAGAGAGAGTGCGCGAGCGCGTGAGCAGGAGAGAAGCAGAGGGAGGGAGACACAGAATCCGAAGCAGGCTCCAGGCTCTGGGCTGTCAGCACAGAGCCTGATGCAGGCTTGAACCCATGAACTGTGAGATCATGACCTGAGCCTAAGTCAGGCACTCAACCGACTGAGCCACCCAGGTGTCCCTAAAAAATTTTTTTTAATGTTTATTTATTTTTGAGAGAGACATGGCACGAATGGGAGAGGGGCAGAGAGAGAGGGAGACAGAATCTGAAGCAGGTTCCAGGCTCTGAGCTGTAAGCACAGAGCCCAACTCGGGCCTTGAACTCACGAGCTGTGGGATCATGACCAAAGTCGGATGTTCAGCTAACTGAGCCACCCAAGTGCCCCAATATAAAATTTTATTTAAAAAAATAATTTAAAAAATAATCAAATGTTAAGTGTTTGACATCATACTGTAGGATACTAGTCTACATGTCAGCTGTTTAGTTTGCTCCTGATAATTATACTGCATATTTAAAAAATTCTAAGTAGAGATATTCAATACTTATAAGCAGTTATTTTCAACAAGCTTAAGTCTTTAGACTCAAAACTGTAAGGAATTTTCATCTTAAAGCAATTTATGAAGCTGTTTGAAGTTTGATTATTGAGAATAAAATGCGTTTTGAGACCTCAGTTTTCTTGCCATACCCTTTTGTGTTTTCATGGATATTGTATCAGATTTTGGAAATTCTCATGTCATGAAATTTTATTTTACTTTGTTTTTTAAATGTTTATTTTTGAGAGACAGCACATGTGAAATTAGGGGAAGGGCAGCGAGGACAGGGTAGGGGACAAAGGATCCGAAGCAGGCTCTGTGCTGACAGCAGAAAGCCTGATGTGGGGCTCGAACTCATGAACCGTGAGATTCACCAGCTGAGCCACCCATACACTGCATCTTGTCATGAAATTTTAAAATGGCAAAGTTGACATTCTGTTTTTCATTCTTCTTGTCAAAATGTGAAGAATTCTCTAATAAGGACTTTTTCTTAAAAGATTCATAGCTTAAATCATTAAAAAGTATGTCAATTCTTAAAGGTTTATTTAGTGATATAGTAGTATACTGAACAACTTTCAACCGAGGTTAGAATTACGATATAACCTAATTTCTTTTTTAAATTTAATTTTATTTATTTTAGAGTGCAAGCAGGGGAGAGGGGCAGAAGGAGAGAGAAGGAGAGTGAATCTTAAGCAGGCTCTATGTTCAGTGTGGAGTCCAACACCAGGCTTGATCCCACAACTGTGAGATAATGACCTATGCTGAAATCAAGAGTCAGATGCTTAACTGAGTGAGCCACCCAGGCGCCCTGATATAACCTAATTTCTGTTCATCTACCTCATATTTTTTATAAATACTTATTTACTCAAAAAGGCTATATTCTTCCTAAATTCTGTTATAGCACTCTCAATGTTCATATTAACTGTAAATCTGTTTCCCTATTTAATTGTTTGAAAGTTCTTTAGTTTGTATCTAAATTTGGCTTTCACAGTCATCACTAATAATTATTGCATTTTATTTTTCCAACTTAAGTTGTCCAGTAAAATTTCACCATATAAAGCCATAAGATTTTTATTCTGTCTAGAATGCCTACTAATGGTTATTTTACAATGAATATTCAGATACTAATAATCCAAAATGACATACATTATTTATATTGCTGTAGAAAGGATAGTAACTTGTATGATCACATGGTCATTAATCAGACACAGGTGCAGAGATACTAGAAATATCACTGAAATGGTGAATTGCTTATTTGGTATTCTAAAGATCAAGGCTAAAGCTGAAGTTGATTTTGGGTGACTACTGAGCCTAAGCCAAACTTCTTGAGTCCCTGTTATATTTTTGGGAAAACTTAGTTGTAGGGAGATGATGTAATTTACATGAAACTATTCAGTAATAGGGGGTAGAAGTGGAATTTGGACCAGGTAACCTAAATTTTTCTTCTGCCTTTATAATTGTGACTGGCCTTAAAAAACAGCCAGTCTTAGCATCATTGTCCCCTGCATACACACAGAGATTTCCCTGTGTCCCTTTTCTTCCTTCCTTCAAGAAAAGCTAGGTTAGAAAAGAGTTTTAGAAGAGAAGGTCATTTCCTTTTCAGCGAAATTACTACCTTAAAGACTGCTTAGGGTTATAATTTGTAGAAGAGAAAGTGTAGAGTCTTTGAGGACTTTTTTCTTTTTATTGAGAATGCAATGAATAAGCCCTCAGGAAATTAAACTTTGCTAAATTACCTGACGCCGATACATAAATTACCTTTGAGTTAGTCATGCTTGGACATATTTATGATAGATAGTGGTAATTGCAGAATTGGTCTATCAAAAATAAAATGGAATTTAAGTCGTAAAATTTAAGTTTAAAGGGTAAGATAGAAGATATTAAGGAAGCAAAGGGTCCAAAAGTGGAGGAACTTCTTGACTATTAAAACTTTACAATTTTGTAGATTATTTTGAAATTTAATAAAAATCTCAGTGACAGTTACTGTTTAAATTTTACTGCCAATAACAAAAGGAACCCTGGAAACTCCCCTAAGTTTCCAGGCAAAAGGAAATGTTTGATATTTACAAAGATTCTTATATATATATTTTTTAATTTTTTTTAACATTTATTTATTTTTGAGACAGAGAGAGAGCATGAACAGGGGAGGGTCAGAGAAAGAAGGAGACACAGAATCTGAAACAGGCTCCGGGCTCTGAGCTGTCAGCACAGAGCCCGACGCGGGGCTCGAACCCACGGACCGCGAGATCATGACCTGAGCCGAAGTCGGACACCCAACCGACTGAACCACCCAGGCGCCCCAAAAGCTTCTTATATATAAATAAGACTTGTTTGTGTCTCTTTCAAAGAGAACCAGAATCCCCTAAACATTTTTTATTGTAAACTTTTATTGAGATAATTATAGATTCATGTGTAATTATAAGAAATAATAGAGAAATCCTGTGTATCCTTCACAGTTTGCCCCAGTGGTACCATTTTACAAAGCTATAAGACAACATCACAACCAGGATATTGGCATTGATATAATCTACCAATCTTAAATTCCCCCAGTTTTACTTGTACTTACTGGTGTGTGTATGTATATTTAGTCATATACCTGTTGTTCTTTTATAAATACATCCACCTGTATCACACCCTGTTGGCTCCTCTACCCCATCGCTTAACCTGTGGCCACCTCTAGTCAGTTTTCCATTTCTAAAACTTTGTCATTTCAAAAATGTATAAATGGAATCATACAGTATATATAACTTTGAGACGGACTTTTTTCATTCAGCATAATTCCCCAGAGATTTATGAGAGTTGTTAAGTGTATCAGTAGTTTCTTTTTGTTCTCCAGTAGCAGTCCATGGTATATATGCACCCCAGTTTGTTTAACCATTGATTGACCTGTTGAAGAATGACATCTAAACTGTTTCTGGTTTTTGGCTGTTACAAATAAAGCTGCTATAGACATTTGTGTACTTGTTTGAACATAAGTTTTCATTTTTCTGGGATAAATGTCCAAGAGTGCCCAGAATTTATTTTAAATAAGAAATTATTAAAGTGCCAAAAATATCGGGGGGTGCTCAGTCAGTTAAGCATCTGACTTCGGCTCAGGTCATGATCTCACGGCTCATGGGTTCAAGCCCCATGTCAGGCCCTGTGCTGACAGTTCAGAGCCTGGAGCCTGCTTTGGATTCTATATCTCCTTCTCAGCCCTCCCCTGCTCACGTGCATGCTCACTCTGTCCGTCTCTCTCTCTCAAAAATAAACATGAAAGTGACAAAAATATTAACTTAGAGAATAGGTATTGGGGCAAGTCATGAATCTACTATTCTCAGTCTTTTATCTTAAGTGGAAAAAAATTTTTTTTGCTTGAGAATTCAAGTTTATGTACTTTTTGGTAGGACATCGGCACCAAAGAGCACTTTCAGCATGTGCCTTAGAAACATTAATATGAGAATTTATGCATAAATACTAGATAATCACAAAACTTATGAATTGGCAGTTTGCCATTCACTTATAGGTATAGCTCATTCACAGTCATTATATTTTAAATAGGTTATATTTTTGTTTTTCTGATTTTCAAAGTAACAAGTAATTATAAAAATCAGAAATGTATAGGGGTGCCTATAGGGCTTAGTCGGTTAAGTGTCCAACTTTAGCTCAGGTCATGATGTCACAAGTCGTGAGTTTGAGCCCCACATGGGGCTCTGTGCTGACAGCTCAGAGTGTGAAGCCTGCTTTGGATTCTGTGTCTCCCTCTCTCTCTGCCCCTCCCCCACGTAAAAATAAATAAACATTAAAAAAAATTTTTAAGTCAGAAGTGTATAAATATATAAAACAGAAAATTAGAACTCTAATACCAGCAAAACGGCTGTCAAGATTTTTGGTGTATTTCCTTCTAGTGTTTTCTGTGTGCATATTATACTAATTTAATAGAATTTTTATAAAATTGGGATTAAGTTAACTATATATATAGTTTGCCATCTTAGTTAACAATGGAACTTTAAAAATGTTTTGAACCATTTGTATGTCTTCATTTATGAATTGTTCACTTTTCCCCCCCTTTTATATTGATGAGATAGAGTTTATGACTATTTGGTCATGCATAAATAGAAAACAGGAATAGCACTGAAGTTGGCTAATTGTTTTACTTAATATTTCTTCTTTTATGTCACATTTTAAATCATTTTTATTCTTCTTTGAAGATACGCTGTGATAGCATTTGGATGTGCTAGCTGTCCAAAATTAACTTGTGGGCGAGAAGGCTGTGGAACAGAGTTTTGCTACCACTGTAAACAAATTTGGCACCCCAATCAGACCTGTGATGCTGCTCGGCAAGAGAGAGCCCAGAGTTTACGTCTGAGAACTATACGTTCTTCATCCATTAGTTATAGTCAAGAATCTGGAGCAGCAGGTACTTATGTCTAACTTTTCTAATAAGATACTTGACACATACAGAGCACTATAGTTATCTTAATAAAAACTGCAGCATTCAGTTCCTGTTATTACCTTTTCTCCCTTCAGTTTTTGAAAGTGTTTTATGTGTTGGCATTTCTGTCTCAGAAGCACTCAATCTTTGCTGTGGAAGAAAATGGTACTGAGGTTGGAAAGATTTTATTGTAAAAAAGTGAAGTGCCGTGATGATTTGCATAACTGATAGCTAAGGATGTCTGAAATTGTAATTTATAAAGGTGTATTATGCAAAGCTTAGCAAAGATTTTTAATAAAATATTAAGTTTGAATATATTACCTTTAGATTATTTCTAATTGTGTAAATATCACAAAGTTACAGGTTTAAAATGGTATTTATTTTTTGAATTCTTTCATTTACATGTTTTGTGAAATACTACATCTTTTATTTACAGATGTCTCTTCTAATTTTGTGATCAAGGATTCAAATCATACCTTAGTGGGGAGGACACTAAGAATTTTGTGTCTTTGGCTAAGAATTTAAAAATTACCTGGGGATATGTACACAAACAATGTATGCATCTTCTAAATCTCAAAAATTAAAAAAAAAACATTTTTTTTAATGTTTATTTTTGAGGGAGAGAGAGCATGAGTGAGGGAGGGGCAGAGAGAGAGGGAGACACAGAATCCAAAGCAGGCTCCACACTCTGAGCTGTCAGCACAGAGCCTGACGTTTTGAGCGGGGCTCGAACTCACGAACCATGAGATCGTTTACCTGAGCCGAAGTTGGACGCTTAATGGACTGAGCCACCCAGGCGCCCCTAAAAAGTTTTTCTGAATCTCTTAATGTTCTTTGAGTAAAAATTCCAAAAATTAATATTTCCCATTTACAAAATTTCATTGTTTATTGGGATTTTTAGGAAAAATACTTTTAGAAAAATAGTTTTTTTTAGAAAAATACTTTTCTCACTAATTATAAAATGGAAAAACTTGGAAAGTACAGAAATTTGTCAAGAAAATGATTTACATTCCTACCAGCAGTGTATTATTGAGATAGTCATATACTTAATGCTATCAGAGAAAAGTCTTATTCAGTAGTTAAAGTTGAATTTTAAATTAAACATTTAAAATGATATAAACTTGAAAGTCAACATTTAATATTTTATATAATGTACACAGATTTTCATGCTTGTTTGCTGATTGACTTGTTTCTGCTTACTCTCCTGAAGATTTGGGGTGGAACTCAAAGGTATTAATAATGAATTGTAGGTGTGGGTCCAGAAGCAATTCAGAGAGGACCTGATATATGTAAACTGTACCCTGTAGAGTCCGCTGTAGCCATTGAATGGTCCACTTGGAAATGATATTCCTCTTTTTTAAATGTAGGGATGGGTGTTGATTGGTTATAGGACACATGACATACTGAGTCACAGACTTGACCCTGGAATCAGTGTCTCTGGATATGAATTGTAGCTTCTCCACTAATTCTCTGTGCAACCCTGAGCAAGTTGTCTCAGCTATAAAATGAAGATATTAATAATACTTATGTCTATAAGGTTGAAACATTTCCTGACACATAGTAGGTGCTCTGGCTGTTAGAGGTGGAGAAACTAGAGAAACCAGTCACCTGCTAGAGATTTGCATTTGTTATTGATTTTAAACATCATGATTTAGTCATCCAAATAAATGTTGATCTTACAGTATTCACCATGGGGGATTTTATGTTGTTGTTTTTTTTTCAGCAGTGCTACCCTGGAACACCTTATTGGTCATAACCTTTAGATACTAATACAGCCACTTAAACTATCTTCTTAATGTCAGTTTGATATTTGGAAATGACCAGAAGTTCCTTTGGAGCTAAGTTTAACCACTAGAATATCATACCAAGTTGAATCACCGGTTTGGGATATATCCAAAGTAAAATGTGACTGTCTGATCATGGGAATAATTTTTTTTTTTTTGAAGTTTATTTATTTTGAGAGAGAGGTAGTGCAAGGGAGGGAGGGGCAGAGAGAATCTCAAGCAGGGATCTCTCAAGGGAGAGAGAGAATCTCAAGCAGGCTGTGCACTGTTAGTGCAGAGCCCAATGTGGGTCACGAAGTCACAAGCCATGAGACACATGACCGGAGTCAAAATCAAGAATTGGTTGCATAACCGACTGAACCACCCAGGTGCTCTCGAGAGTGATTTTCTTTATATTAAGTTGCTTTGAAAGTAATTATGAAAGAAAAACTTCCCAAATGATTTGAGCCAAATAGTAGCATTGTTGGAATAAATATAGCCTCCCAAGGTGATTATTTTAAAAAGTTCATTTGGAATTTTTCCATATTTCAAAAATCTTATAATTCTGAAAATTTAAGTACATGCCTTTTTACTTTCAGTGCTCTAAAAATCAGAACTCTCAGGACAAATGTTTATGTGATAGTTTCTTTTGATATAATCTATAAACTTGAACTTGGCTGCTCATTGGCTGGCGGGGGGAAGAGGGAAGGAAACTACCATCTGAAATGGTTTTATTAATTCCCATTATTCCAGATATCTTGGTATTTTTTGTCTCCCATTATCATGATTCTTTGAAAAATTGGCTGTACTTTTAAAGATTGCTTGACATAACGATAATAATCAGTTGACTGTTCCTTATGAGTGAGTTGAAGATAAGTAAGAGTGCTGTATTGTGATTATATTTGTCTTTAAACTGTGACAGTATTGCATCTACATGAGACACTTCCTTATAGCTACTAGGGAGTTTATGCTCTTGGAGTTCACATTTTAAATAACTATATTTTTCACTTTTGTTACTATATTTTCCCCCTTTATTAAAAATACATTTAATTGGTTTTCCACTCCCCTATCTTCTGTCCCCTGTGTACTATTCCCTAATGCTACCACCCCAAGAGATAACCACTGTTAACATTTTGTTGTAAGTCCTTACAGGTACTATGGTGGGGGGTGGGAAAATTTTTAAACAAATTTTGAGATTTGACAAATTTAACAAATTGTATAGTGTTTTGTAACCTGTTATTTTTTTTCTTAATATGACAGTAGGCCAGCCCATATTTTAACAGCAAATAGAAATATGATTTAAAAAAAAAAAACCACAAAACTTTGTCAAACCCACCTTAAATACAAACAGGAAACTTTTAACATAAAGCAGCTGTGGATTAATTGATGCTCAGGGAATGGGGCATCAGTTGACCATCTAATCAGTAAAATAGCTCTAGGATTTTTGCATTTTGAGAGAAAAATATGTACGCAGTGAATTTTTTTCTAATTTGTTTTAAGAAAAGACACAAAGACAAAACAGCCTTTTGTAGATAAGTACACAGTGAAAACATGCACATCTATAAGGAGACCTCAAAAAAAATCCCTTATGGTGTTCATTCTCTAACGTAATCTAAGCGTATTGAAAGGCTGTTTTGTGTTTTTAGAACATAAGAATGAATGAGGATGTCCCCTTTCATTTTGTTCTGAATGTATCAGAGCCAAAGTCGAGTGTCTTTACTCCCACCTCTAATTGAGATATTTACTACTTGAGTATACTCTGGAATGAGGAAGTTTATCAATTAATATGCCAGTTAAGCAGATAGTATTTCTTTAATTTGATGTACTAGACATTATATCACCTATAAAAGCTAGCTTTTTAAAATTTATGCTCCAGTGTTAAAAATATTTTAATGCAGACTTTATGTCCTTTGGATCATTGAAATCATGACTTAGGGATATTTTTAATTTTTATATTCTTGATCTGGCTGCATAGAGTTACCAGTTTGCTCAAAATTGTTTGAATTGTTAAAATACTGATTGTGAGCATTGATGAGTTCTTAAGTTAAAAACCAGCTTTGGCTCTTAAAGAAGCAGTAAGGAAAGCTGAATTCACTGTAAAATATGACCATAAAACTTTTAGAAAGGAAACTAGAATATAGTTTAATGCTTATCATGTAAGAAAATGGAACAAATACTTGAATTCAATGGCTAGTACCATGCATATCTTTTCTTAACTGTGTATAGTTAGAAAATATACCTCACTACTAATAATAGAAAATAATTTACTGGTTGCTCTTAGATGCCAAAGTTCAAAATAGTTGTGTAATTTGAGATAACTTGTATTCTATGTTAGTGATTCCAAAAGTTATGTACCATTTGATTTTAACTTAGCACCTGTGTGCATTGTAACCATATTACTGTGCATTATCCAGAAACAGCATTTGAATAAATGAATAAAAAAAGGACAAAGATAACTATTCTGTAGTATAAAGAATATCTACATTTTAATAAAGTAGAGATGGTTAGAAAAGTTTTAGAATATCAAGTGCCACTCAGAGAAGACAGCTATGAGGTAGGAACAAAGACAAACTTTATGTAGTTTGCAGTTTGCCCAGGGCTGTCCTTGGTTCTCCTTTCTCTTTTTATTATTTTGTCACTGTTTGTTCTCATTGTTCTGTGTTTGAAAATGTTTACAATTTGAAAATTTAATATAAAGTATGTTCCTTTCTTCAGTTAACAATCTGATATGTTAAGATTTTTTTGGCATTGCTGCAATTGATTATCTACTAAAATTGTTATTTTTAGACCAGTTTTATGTACTAAACAAACATGTCTCTCTGTTTTCCTGATAGCTGATGATATAAAGCCATGTCCACGATGTGCTGCTTATATAATAAAGATGAATGATGGGAGCTGTAATCACATGACATGTGCTGTCTGTGGTTGTGAGTTTTGTTGGTTATGTATGAAAGAAATCTCAGATTTACATTATTTAAGGTAAGTTTATAGTAGGAGCTAGCTATTTAGTCTGTGGCCATACCACCCTGAATACGCCCAATTATGTCCGATATGGGAAGCTAAGCAGGATCAGGCCTGGTTAGTACTTGGGTGGGAAGGGAAAAGGAGCTATTTATATCTAAATATAATTTTATATTGTAAAAGAATTTGAAACTGTGTTATCCTAAGCATTTTTAAACTTGGTGCTTATAAGATTCTTAGAGGGATGTGTTTTATTTCAGTTACATAAATTTAAATGGAACCAAATTATTGTGCTTGTCATTTGGGATTAGTCAAAAATAGGAAACCTAGATTTCTTCTTTTTTTGTGTTTGTTTTGTTTTTTTTTTAAACTAGAAAGCTAGTATTTTATACCCCCATGTAATTATGCTAGGTCATAAATAATTCCACTTAATTTTCTCATATATAAATTACCTCATTTATTCCACAAAGTGAGCTTAATATAATCAGATAATTGTATGCCTAAAACAGGGATAGAAATAAGCATGTTTGCATTAATTTACTCTTCAAAAACTAACATTTTCCGGCTAATGGAGAACTAGGGATAAATTTTTTTTTTTTTTAATTTTTTTTTTCAACGTTTTTTATTTATTTTTGGGACAGAGAGAGACAGAGCATGAACGGGGGAGGGGCAGAGAGAGAGGGAGACACAGAATCGGAAACAGGCTCCAGGCTCTGAGCCATCAGCCCAGAGCCTGACGCGGGGCTCGAACTCACGGACCGCGAGATCGTGACCTGGCTGAAGTCGGACGCTTAACCGACTGCGCCACCCAGGCGCCCCTAGGGATAAATATTTAACCTGAATTCTAGTTATCAGTATTCTTTAAAAAAAATTTTTTTTTAATGTTTATTTTTGAGAGCTAGAGAGAGACACAGAGTGTGAGCAGGGTAGGGGCAGAGAGTGGGGAGACAGAATCTGAAACAGGCTCCAGGCTCCGAGCTGTCAGCACAGAACCGTGAGATCATGATCTGAGCCAAAGTCTGACGCTTAACCGACTGAGCCACTCAGGTGCCCCTATCAGTATCCTTTTAAAATAATTTATGGTGATTCTTACGCTGATTTTTTTTTTTTTTTTGGCTTTTAATGAACCTAGAATTCAAAGAAAGGGAAAAAACCTCATTCCTAAGTATGAAAATTCTTTTAGAGTCATTTCTTTAGAGTCTAAAATGAAAAAATTCATTTTAGAGTCATTTTCTTTTAGAGTCTTTCTGTAGTCATTATTATGTTTTACAGTGGTTACAGTTATAATTTTTTTCATTAGTCCATCAGGTTGTACTTTTTGGGGGAAGAAACCCTGGAGCCGAAAGAAGAAGATATTGTGGCAGCTGGGGACACTTGTTGGTGCTCCTGTAGGAATTGCTTTAATAGCTGGCATTGCTATCCCTGCAATGATTATTGGCATTCCTGTCTATGTGGGCCGTAAGGTAAAATGCTTGATTCCTTATTAGTTTAATATCTTATTCTAAATCTTTAGGATTAAGGTTGATGATTTTTGTTTTGCCTTTTATTTGTTTTGAAAGATCATTTTTAGTATTTTCAGTATAAAACTACTTTTTCATAAAATAATAAATTTTCAGCATTCAGCAAACTCATACGAATGCATTAGAAAGTAGACTTGCTTTGGGGCACCTGGGCGGCTCAGTCAGTTGAACATCTGACTTCAGCTAGGTCGTGAACTTGCAGTTCATGAGTTCGAGCCAGAGCCTGGAGCCTGCTTTGGATTCTGTGTCTCCCTCTCTTTTCCTCCTCTGCTCACACTCTGTCTCTCTCTCTCAAAAATAAATGAAGATTAAAAATTTTTTTTTAAAAAGTAGACTTGCTTTGAAATTACCTGAATCTGAAAACTTGAGTACATTTGTATTGTAAACCTTTCTAACTCTAAGTGTAAAGTATTGAAGGACACACCTGATATTTTTCGCATGGATGTATATCCTTGTAAAGTCAGGTCTAGAAAAAGTTAATGGCTAAAAAACACATGCCCTCAAGGCAAAGAATAATTAGCCAGTTCCTGAATTATTTTGAACTTTAGTTCAAAGCTTTTATTTTCTTAGATTACTGCTATTACTAAATATGCTGTTTTGTAGATTATAACAATCTTTTGAAGGTCCAAACACCAATAATTACCAGTGAGTGGCCTGTGAATGATGAATTATATTTCATTAGCTATTCAATAATTCTTTTTTGAAAAGTTAAAGGGATAATTTGTGAAGTGGCTAAGAAGTCACTTAGTGGCTAATAGAAAATCAGAATTGAGAAGTAACTATAGAAGGTATCTAATTGCAGAATAGAGCAGAGGCATATAGCTCGTACTGTGTGCTGGGTGTTTTACGTACTTTGACTCCTTTTAAACTCACAGAAATTTATGTGTTAGAATATTGAGGTTTAGGAAAGTTTGAGTTACACAAACGGAAGCAGAGCTAGGATGTAAACACAGATACATTCTTTTTTATTTTTATTTATTTTTTTTAATTTTTTTTTTCAACGTTTATTTATTTTTGGGACAGAGAGAGACAGAGCATGAACGGGGGAGGGGCAGAGAGAGAGGGAGACACAGAATCTGAAACAGGCTCCAGGCTCTGACGCGGGGCTCGAACTCACTCACCGCGAGATCGTGACCTGGCTGAAGTCAGACTTAACCGACTGCGCCACCCAGGCGCCCCCAGATACGTTCTTTATGTAAGAATCCTGATAAATTCCTCTAGCCATTTGGGCACTTCAGTAATGGGGGAAACACCAACTCCTGAAGCAGCCCATTCTGTTGCCTGTTATCTGTAATTGTTATGTTGAGTCAGAATCTGTTTCCCTTTGAATTGTTTCATTAAATTCCAGTTAAGACTTTTGGGGCCAAACTCAAGACAAAGCTGATCCTTTTCCATATAACAGGCACATTTTTAAATATTCAACATATATTACTTTTATAATCAGAAAAATAACAATACATACTATTTTTTAAAAAAATAAGCTTTGGGACCAAGGATAAACATAGATACTTATGAGCCAAATGTTTATTATGGAAGGTTTTAAGTAACTAAGCTTGTTTAAAGTGTCCCATACATAATAGCTGATTATAATAATTTTTCCATGTGATTATCCAAAGCAAGCCTTTGCTAAAAACAAAACTGTTTATTCAGATACTTAGAAATAGAAGTAGAAGGTAAATAGAGACTGTTGTACTGCACACACTTACAAATAATTTATAGAGGAGGGATTATTTACCTCATTGTTCAAGTCTTAGGTGCAGTTACCAGTCTCCTTTTTTCAAACATCTACAAGTTGATGAATTAGTTTTCCATTGAAACAATTTTCTCTGCGGTATTTGGGGATACAAATCAGCCCAGGCAAACCTATTAAGTTGATAAAGTACCTAAAAGTTTAGTCTTTATTTGCAATAACAAATAGAAAATGTGGCACAAAATAGTAAAATAGAAAAAATTAAGTTGAACCAGTAGTATGATATGATCACTGTAATTAAACATTAGTGCTTAAGGGTGAAAAGTTTTCTGGAGGGTTCCTGTTTACTCTGTCAGTTTTTAGTTTTGGCTTTATTCTGCTTCAGTGCTGTTTTTCAGGAATGGTAGTTGGGAGAGGAGCAAGAATTAGCTGCAGTACTGAAGGGTAATGAAAGATACCTTTGGGAGGGGCTGCCATCTCTACCTGCAGGGACTGTTGAGGCAATTATAGAGGCCCATTCCATAGGAACATATAGTCAATGCTGGGAAACAAGATTCTGACTAGGAAATAGGAATATTTCTTGTCCCACGCATGCTTCTCCCACCTCCCCACCCCAGCTTTCTCACTGTTTAATATATTTCACAAGACTCATTGTACTTCATAGCCTTCAAAATAACCATATAATAATAATTATTTTATTAAACCTCACTTGTAATATTGTTCATAAGTCAAGTATCTTATGTTAGAGACTACTTGCACACTTTTGAAGGCGGTTGTGAATCTCTATTGAAACAGGAGAAATGTACTTAACTAGCTTTAGCCCTTGCAACTCACGAGACCAAAGATACTGAGCTGTTTTTTGTTTGTTTGTTTGTTTGTTTTTTCAACGTTTTATTTTTATTTTTGGGACAGAGAGAGACAGAGCATGAATGGGGGAGGGGCAGAGAGAGAGGGAGACACAGAATCGGAAACAGGCTCCAGGCTCCGAGCCATCAGCCCAGAGCCTGACGCGGGGCTCGAACTCATGGACCGCAAGATCGTGACCTGGCTGAAGTCGGACGCTTAACCGACTGCGCCACCCAGGCGCCCCTGTTTTGTTTTTTAATGTTTATTCGTTTTTGAGAGAGACACACACAGAGCATGAGCAGGGGAGGGGCAGAGAGAGGGAGACACAGAATCGGAAGCAGGCTCCAGGCTCTGAGCTGTCAGCTCAGAACCCCACATGGGGCTTGAACTCAGAAACTGTGAGATCATGACCTGACCTGAGGTCAGACACTTAACCAACTGAGCCACTCAGGCATCCCAGATACTGAGCTGTTTCTTGAAGTTCATATATCTCCCAAGCCACTTTCAATGTGATATTAAATTCTATTTATTACTACTTATATTGTATACAAAGATGCTAAGTAGATCTAAGTTCTGTCCCCTGGCAGCAGCATTCTCTTTTTTCCCTCTTTCACCTTTTTACTTTGAGCTATAAATGGGACCCCAGGATTCTGAGTCATTTGATAATATTTTTCTTTATAAAAAGGAATCTAAGTGACTTATTTAGTGGTGTTTGCTTATTCGTACTGCTTGTTAAAGGTTAATTTTTTTAAAAAATGGGGCAGGGGGAGCTGCCTGGCTGGCTCAGTCGGTTAAGTGTCTGACATCGGCTCAGGTCATGATCTCACGGTTCATGGGTTTGAGCCCCGCATCGGGCTGTGTGCTGACACCTCAGAGCCTGGAGCCTGCTTTGGATTCTGTGTCTGTCTCTGTGTCCCTCCTCGGCTCACATTCTCTGTCTCTCTCTCTCAAAATAAATAAACATTAAAAAAAAAAAAAAGTTGTAGAAATCTCCCCTAGAAGCCAACTTTTACCATTCAGGGATGTTTATTTAGAAACCTGTGAAATGCTAAATTTCTTAGGAGTAATCCTATTAGTAAATATCCAATTCATAACTGTGTTGAAAATAATATTCTTAATTTCTTCTTTGCTCAAAACATGATTTTAACTATTCTTGAATAAGATTATACATTTACTCAAGACTATTTAAAAGTAAACACAAAGTAAAATCTATTAAATCACTGTCTTTTTGAAGCAAATTATTAATGAGGAGTAAACTATGTGTAAGAATGTGGTTTAAGAACATTAAAACATTTGTCTTCAATTAGGACACTTAAGTGAATGAAATTATAAAAGAAATCACTTTAAATTACTATCAAATGTATGTCTAGACTTTCATTTAAATTAAATACGTAATGTGTTTTTAAATCTTCACCTCGTTTTTATTTTTAATTCAAGATTCACAACCGATACGAAGGCAAGGACGTTTCAAAGCACAAACGGAATTTGGCCATAACAGGTGGTGTAACATTGTCTGTAATAGTATCTCCAGTTGTAGCTGCAGTAACTGTAGGTAAGAAAATGCTTAAAAATACAATAATCTCTGGGGCGCCTGGGTGGCGCAGTCGGTTAAGCGTCCGACTTCAGCCAGGTCACGATCTCGCGGTCCGTGAGTTCGAGCCCCGCGTCGGGCTCTGGGCTGATGGCTCAGAGCCTGGAGCCTGTTTCCGATTCTGTGTTTCCCTCTCTCTCTGCCCCTCCCCCGTTCATGCTCTGTCTCTCTCTGTCCCAAAAAAAATAAATAAAAAACGTTGAAAAAAAAAAAATTAAAAAAAAAAATACAATAATCTCAAGTTTTAAGTTTTGTGGAAGAATTGAAAGCATTGTATTTTTTTTTTTTAATATAATTTACTGTTAAATTGGTTTCCATACAACACCCAGTGCTCATCCCAACGATAATTACTTTTGTATTTAAGGACAATTTAAACTGAGCCTACAGAAAACCTCTCATTGAGTAATTGTATTGGTTAAAAGTATTATAGACTCAAGAGCCTAGCATTAGGATAATTGGTAAATTCTTAGTGGCTTATTCCCTCCCTCACCCCATACAGTTTGAAGACTTGGCACTTAAAAAGGTTGACCTCTTTTTTCACCTCATGAGTGTCACCTGAAAGATTCGGAGCTTTGAATTTGTTTGTTCCCCTTATCAGCTGGGTAAATCCACTTTGGGCAAGAGTTGGAGAGCAACAGCACTTTTCTCCTGTATATTTTCTCTTGAAAAGGCTTTCTAAAAAGTCATGTTTCTATGATTTATTTTTTGCCTTCTAATGACTAATTTAATTCCTCTTTAGGTATTGGTGTTCCTATTATGTTAGCCTATGTCTATGGTGTTGTTCCAATTTCTCTCTGTCGAAGCGGAGGTTGTGGAGTCTCAGCAGGCAATGGAAAAGGAGTCAGGATTGAATTTGATGATGAAAATGATATAAATGTTGGTGGAACTAATACAGCTGTAGGTAAGTCCTTTAAGCAAAGGAAGAAAATGTACTTATTAATAGTTTATGTTAGGGGATAGATAACATGCAAATTAGAATTTCCATTGCCTTCTTTTCCAGAGGCCTAATAGCATTCATCCATAAGTATATCATTGAAATACTGCCTAGGAAAGGTGAATGGATGAAAACGGGTGGAAGGGTTCTGGGTACCTAACCTACACTGGAAATGTAATGTCTTAGAAGTTCTAGACTTTCAGTCTTCAATTTTGCTTAAAATATTACAAGTCAGTAAGGATAGGATATGAAGAGAAAGGTAGTTCATAAAACAAGAAATGCAAATGGCCAGTGAATAGAGAATATCTTCAACCCACTGTTATTCAAAGAAATATGAATTAACTAGAGAATGAAAAGGCCCTCATAGACTACCAGTAGGAGTAAAACCTTAAAAAATGTGCATGTTCTATATTCCAGCAATTCTTCTTATAGAAATTTGTCTTCGGGAAATAATTAGGCAGAAGTACAAAGATAATATACACTTTCTTACCTCCCATTCTGTCTTGAACTCACTCCAAATGTATTTGGACCCTTCCACTCTAGGGTTTTATCTCTACCACTCCACTAAAGCAGAGTCATGAGTGACCTCCATGTTACCAGATATAATGGTCACCTTTTGGGTTTGATCTTAATATACCAGTACACCTGACATGGTAGACCATGCCCTCCTTCTTGAATATTTTCTTCACTTATCTTCCGGGAAACCTTTTCTCATCTCATCATATCTCCTGGCTACTTCTTCTCAGTCTTCATCTACACCCGCTGCATTATAATCTCCTCTATTAAATAATATGTAGACTGACGACTCATAAATTTGTGTCTAGGCTGGAACTCTCCTTTGAACTTCACATTTGTACATCTAACTCTCCTCTTTAATCTACACTTGAATATCTAACAAGAATTTCAAGGTTAACTTGTCTGCAACCAAATTCTTCACTCTAAGACGTGTTCTCTCAGTCATCATCCTCACCTCATTAAGTAGCCTCTCCATTCTTGCTGTTGCTTGGGCCAAAAACCTTCACTTACAGTGACTCCTCCTTTTCCCTTCTTACCCTACATCAGATCCATCAGATTCTGGTGCTTCCTTCAATATTTAGCTATAATCCAACCATTTCTTACCCTCACCACCACTATTCCATTAGTCCAAGCTACTATCCTCTTCTTGGTCTATTGTAATAGCTTCTTTAGCTCATCCATCATCTTATCTTCCACTCACTATTCCACAGTGTAGCCATAGTGATAACTTGTGAAACGTAAATCAGATCATGTCTTTCTTCTGCTCAGAACTCTGCTAGTGCTTCCAACTGTGCTGGAGGAAAAATCCACAATCCCTACCATGGCCTGTACAGCTTCACTCCACATGATCTGTCCTAGGCTGCATCTCTGAACTTCTTTCTTGTCACTCTCCTATCTTATACCATCCCTCCTTCGTGTTTTTGAGGATGCCAAGTACACCTTTACTTGTAGACTTTTAAACTTGCCGTTCTCTCTGCCTGGAATAGTTTTCTCCCCTGGTGTCAGATCTTATAATAGCTTACAGACAGTTGGATCTGTAGGACATATCTAGAAATCAGCTTCTGGCCCATTTTCTTGACCTGGAGAATAATAAGTAGTTTAAATGGAACCTTGTTGGAAACTCACATATTTGCCTCCAAAGTCAGCTAACTTTTTCAACCGTCACATTTTTTACAGAATTCCTAAATCATCTGGATTTTCTAAAAAGTGCTGACCACTTTTTTGGGAAGGGGTGGGATTTTAAGCCAATTTTGCCTTAAAGGGAAAAATTTGATTCCTTAAAAGCACTTATCACAATTTGTAATAACTTTTTTGATTACTTGGTTTCCTAAGGATGAGGGCTATATGTGTCTTCTTTGTTACTGTATTTTTAGCACCCAGAACATAGTAGGTACTTGCTTTCATCATATTTATTTGTTTCCATTAGCATACAAAAATCCTAGTATTTTTAATCCTAAAAAAAAAAAAAAAAAAGAAAGAAAACCAGTTTCTCCTCTCCCATTTCTTCTCATTCCTCATTTATTTATTTTTTTTCTTTCTTGAGTATAGTTGACACACAGTACTACACTAATTTCAAGTGTGCAACATAGTGATTCAACAAGTTTCTGCATTATACTATGCTCACCACAAGTGTAGCGACCGTCTGTTCCCATACAGTTCTATTATGGCAAAAAGTGGTGACAGTTTAATACTGAGAGTTAGTCCTTAATCTGTTTTTAAACTCTGAGATACTTTTCTTTCCCTTTACCCCATAGTTACTTGTTCCTGACTCCAGATGTCTTTTCTGTTCCTGTGTATGTTTTATAATAAAACGTCCTATCTGAAATCATAGAGGAATTTAAGAAGAGGAAAACTAATAATCACACTTATTTAATTTCTTTGAAATATTTGCATTTAGACACAACTTCAGTAGCAGAAGCAAGACACAACCCTAGCATAGGGGAGGGAAGTGTTGGTGGTCTGACTGGCAGTTTGAGCGCAAGTGGAAGCCACATGGATCGAATAGGAGCCATTCGAGACAACTTGAGTGAAACGGCCAGTACCATGGCTCTGGCTGGAGCCAGTATAACAGGGAGTCTGTCAGGAAGTGCCATGGTAAACTGTTTTAACAGGTAAGAGAACTGTGCTTTCTTTTCTGTTTGCCTTCTGTTAACTACAAATTATTCATTAAATAAGAATTTTGAACGATTATGTCATTATGTAATCATTATGATGATTACATATAACCAGGCTGTGTCAGAGTTGAAAATGGTAATATTAAAAATGAATCTTAGTGGTGAACAGGAGGTTTTTACTTGTTTGAATTTTCTGTCATAATAGTATAGACCCATGGTATGGTAAAAGCCAAGTCTATGGCATAGCATTCTGCCAGTTTTTTTCACTGCACTTGTCACATCTGATGTTATGAATCAGTGCTAGAGCTGCTTTGGTAGGCACAGTAAAGGAAATACTTAAGCCTGGACCTTACCTCTCAAGACAGCAGCAGCTGGATGTTAGAAAAAGAGACATTGGGTTAAGACCTAGGGGAGCAGGAGGAATCAAGATATGTGGGAGTGTGTGAACTGAGGCCAGGGTAGTCTAGTCCACCTGAATCCTTTTGTATATTTATGTTTATTTCATTCTCACCAAGTCTTTTACCAACAGCCATACAGATAAGTAGGAGAAATGTAAAGCATTTTTATCTTCCTTTGTTTCTTTTTTAATTCAGTATTCTTTACTTCTGTTTATTAGCTTTTTTAATGTAAGAAAGTATACATGAATTAAAAGATAAATTGGTCATATTTATCTTGTTTTTAGGTAGCTTGCTTTTGAACACAACTCTTAAGTTATTATTATGTCATTTTTAAAGAATCAGATATTTTATAGGATCTTTTTAAAAAATGTTTTTAAAGCTTATCTATTTATTTTGTGTGCAAGAGAGTGAAAACTAGCAGGGGAGGGGCAAAGAGAGAAGGGCACAGAGGATCCAAAGTGGGCTCCATGCTGACAGCAGAGAGCTTGACGTGGGGCCCAAACTCATGAACCATGAGATGATGACCTGAGCTGAAGTCGGATGCTTAACCAACTGAGCTACTCAGGTGCCCCAGGATCTTTTTTTTTTTAGTTTATTTATTTTGAGAGAGAGCTAGAAAGTGGGGGAGGGGCAGAGAGGGAGGGAGAGAGGATCCCCAGCAGGCTCTGAACCATTAATGTAGAGCTTGTCGATGTGGGGCTTGAGCTCGTGAACTGTGGGATCATGACCTGAGCCAGAATCAAGAGTCAGATAGCTAACTGAGCCACCCAGGCACCCCAAAAGTCAAATTGGTTGTATTTATCTTATTTTCAGGTAGGTTGCTTTTAAATACAAACTCTTAAGTTATAGTGGTGTTTATTATTATGTCTTTTTTAAAGAATCAGGTCAAATTCATAGGATCATTTTTAATATATAAATGCTCATGATTTTTTGATTCATTGTTCTGTCAAGTAGAATGGCTTTTAGTGTATTCAGATTTTGTTTCACACTCAAACATGGCCAGCATATTTAATTAAAATCCTTTATGTCCTTTTTGTGTTATTCTGTTAGTATCTTACTTGGCAGACAGCTAATTTTTCCTATTTTATTTGGATGGCTGGTACTGTTCCGTGTGCTGCAGTAGAATTTAAATAATCAAATAAAAGGAGGCTAAAAAAATGCTGGTAGTTGTTTCTAAAATAGTTTCTTAATTCCTAGGGATTCTTAATGGAATTATTTGAAGATATGTATTATAGTAGTCTGATATTATATGTAATTTCAGTTTTTATCTCCTCCCTGCTTTTTAAGGTTGGAAGTACAAGCAGATGTACAGAAAGAACGGTACAGTCTAAGTGGAGAATCTGGCACAGTCAGCTTGGGAACAGTTAGTGATAATGCCAGCACCAAAGCAATGGCAGGATCTATTCTGAATTCCTACATCCCGTTGGACAAGTAAGGAAAGAACTATTATAAAGTTAAAGATTTTTTTCTTTAATTTTTTAATGTTTATTCTTGAGAGAGAGACAGAGCACAAGTGGGGGAGGGGCAGAGAAAGAGGGAGACCTAGAATCCAAAGCAGGCTCCAGGCTCTGAGCTGTCAGCACAAAGCCTGATACGGGGCTCGAACCCATGACCTGATCATGAAATCATGACCTGAGTCAAAGTCAGACGCTCAACTGACTGAGCCACCCAGGTGCCCCAAAAGTTAAAGTATTTTTTAAATTAATTTTAAAAGAATTATTCCTATCATTAGGCAAAACTATCATAAATAGTGGTTACCAACCATTGGGTTCTCTGGGAAAAGCAAATGAAGAGATGTCCAGAGTAGGCAAATCCATAGAGACAGAAAGTATATTAGGTGTTGTCGGGGTGGGAAGACAGGCAGTGGAAGTGGATACAGAGTTGCTTGTGGGAGTGATGAAAATGTTGTGAAGTTAGGTGGTGGTGTGATGGTTGTACAACTCTGTGAATACACTAGAGAACATTGAATTGTGTGCTTTAAACGGGAATTTTGTGATATGTAAATTACATCTCAATAAAGCTATTCTGAAAAAAAATGGAGAAGGTAACATAGTACCTGGAACAGCATAAGCAATAAATGTAGCTATTTCTGTTTTTTTTTTTTTAATTAAAGCATTATTGTAAATATAGTCCTATTATTTCAAGTAATTTTTTTAAAATTTTTTTAATGTTTTTTGATTTATTTTTGAGACAGAGAGAGAGAGAGACAGAGCATGAATGGGGGAGGATCAGAGAGAGAGGGAGACACAGAATCTGAAACAGGCTCCAGGCTCTGAGCTGTCAGCACAGAGCCCGACACAGGGCTTGACCTCACAGACCATGAGATCATGACCTGAGCCGAAGTCGGATGCCTAACCGACTGAGCCACCCAGGCGCCCCTCAAGTAATTTTTTAATAGAACTTGTCCTACATCAATTTGTTCTGACAGCTTTTATGTAGTCTGAATTTTTCACACAGAATCCCTCCCCCTTTGCTGTTAACCTGAATCAAAATAAAAGGAAGTTAGAAATTTGTTTATATTTGTTACTCTTGTGTTCCAGAGAAGGCAACAGTCTGGAGGTGCAAGTAGATATTGAATCAAAGCCATCTAAATTCAGGCACAACAGCGGAAGTAGTAGCGTGGAGGATGGCAGCGCCGCTCGGAGTCATCCTGGTGGTTCATCCAGTGGCTTCCCTGAAGGTAAATCCGGTGCCACCAAGTGGTCCAAAGAAGCAACAGCAGGAAAGAAAGCAAAAAGTGGTAAATTGAGGAAAAAGAGTACCATGAAGATAAATGAGACCAGAGAGGACATGGATGCACAGTTGTTAGAACAGCAAAGCACGAACTCAAGTGAATTTGAGGCTCCATCCCTGAGTGACAGTATGCCATCTGTAGCGGATTCGCACTCTAGTCATTTTTCTGAATTTAGTTGTTCTGACCTAGAAAGCATGAAAACTTCTTGTAGTCATGGTTCCAATGATTATCATGCCCGCTTTGCTACTGTTAACATTCTTCCTGAGGTAGAAAATGACCGTCTGGAAAATTCTCCACATCAGTGTAGCATCTCTGTGCTTACCAAAACTGCTTCGTGTTCAGAAGTTCCACAGTTGAATCATATTGCTGAAGAACATGGTAACAATGGAATAAAACCCAGTGTTGATTTATATTTTGGTGATGCACTAAAAGAAACAAATAATAACCACTCACATCAGACAATGGAATTAAAAGTTGCAATTCAGACTGAAATTTAGGCCTATAAATGCTGCAAATTAATTACCACTGAACAACCTTGTTTGGAGCTGGTTGAACTACATGTGACTACTTTAAGTTTCAAGTTACCAGCAAATGCCAGGTTGCATAATCTAATGCAGATACATTTTTCGTGTTCAGCAAAGCATTGTGTTTCATGTGGATCTTAATTACCAAACTATGAAATGAAGGCTTTAAAAAGTGCATTATTGTAAGGACAATAATTCTTAAGAGAAGTATGTTTTGTGTGTTCACCACAAAACAATGCTTGAAGCACATACTGTGTATTTAGATAGAAATTTGGCTTAATTTATAATCAGTATAAAGTGCTAATGCAATTAGAAACATTCTTATGAAGAAAACTTGAGGCTTAGAGATAAGTGGTTAGTGACATTTTATTGAAACCACTAAAGGATACTGTTTAAAGAACTTTGCAGGTTACTCTCAGTATATGATCCTCTTTGTAACATTTCTATTCATAACTGAGCATAAATTTCATTTTTTTTCTTCATATGCAGTGTGGATATATAAAGCTTAATGCAGCCCATTTGCTACCATTTGGATACTTAGACACTCTGAGCAAGATTGTGGCAGTTTTTGCACAACTTTGAAATAGAAATACCTGGTACTCTCTCTATATCTTGCATCTTGCTGTTGCCATCTTAGAAGCAAAGCGTAAAAGTAGGTAATTAAGTATACTGACAGCACCAAATAAGATCTATAAAACTACAAAATACAATTCCATTAGTTTATAAGTATTACAAAAAAGTCACCTTCTACCAAGGGGACGTTTGCACCCCATTGATTCTTGGTGCCTTTGGAGTAGACTGGATTTTAAGGGCCTAGTTGTTTGAAGATTTTGCTGTATTGTTTTCCATAGTGTCCTCTCTAGCCACTTTGGATTATGTAGACAAATACAAGATAGATAAACATGATTAATAATAACAACGCTGAAAAAGTATTAGCCTACCAAAGACACACTCAGGCTTCAGTGATTACATAACCTCAGTTTTTAACACATGCATATCTTCTCTGATCATGAGCTCAAAGCACGGTGCAGAGTTTGTACCAAGTACTGAGGAGGGGATCCGTGTATGGCTGGCTTTACTTTCTTTTGCTTTTGTTTATGGAGGGTGGTCAGCTGACATAAACAGAAGTTGGCCAAAGTACTGCCTATACTGTTAATTCACTTATATAAAACAGGTTAACCTCAATGATAGCAGTTGAAATGTTCCATCTTAAGTGTTTCTGTTAAGTATTGCCATTATGGTGCTACTGAGTGTTTTCTTTTGATAAAAAGAAAAATGCCCTGGGCTGCAGTCTTCTTCCATCACTTGTTCTCACCAGGTCCATTAATATGCTTATAACACTAGTGCCAGTTATTTTATTTGATAATGCTTATTATGGTATTTGTATATTTGTTTGCATTCCAATTTTGTTCAACGGTGAGTGTGTAAACTGCATACATTAAATAAATGTAAATACTAATGTATTACTGCCTTATGGTTCGTTTGCAAGTGTTTTTATAAGAACAAGAATACTTATTTGCTATATGGCAGGTATTTATAGATCTTGCAAGCTATTGAGATGATTCTGTATCCTAGTCTCAGCCCAAAAGGAAGCATCTGCTGAAATTCTCAACAAACAATGTTAGAAACTGTCCTTTCTTCATGTCTGATACTTGCCTTTCCTCTAGAAAGAAGCTGCTTTATTCATCAACATATTTTATTTTTTAAAGTGAATTGGTTGGAAAGTAAATAGATCCATCATTAAATTGTGAAAAGATAAGTATTATAAATCCTCATCTTAACAGAAAAGTAAAAAGATAAGACTATTCTAAGATTTTCTCTGGCAACATAAGACCATGAAACTAGAGCCATTTAAATTTAAGCTAGTAATTGTAATCAAATGCTTTCCATCCTCGTAGCCTCTAAAAAATGCATTGGTAATTGTTTAAATTTCCTGTTACATAGTTAATAATGAAACTAATATGTATGCATATGTTGCCCACCTTCTTGACATTTCTGTAAAAGACCGAAGATTAAATGGAAAGTGAAATGAGTTTTGGAGGAATACGGCAAAAGTGGTGCCATGTAGGAGGTCAGTGCATTCAGTGTACCTCATTCCACTTCTGGGTGTGCCCTCAACAAGTACTGCCCCAGTCTCACTTGAAAAAATGGTCTAAACCTTTCCACTGGTTTCAGAAGTTCCTTCATCCCCCACGGAGCCTTCACACTTGGATTAATTTAGGACCAAGCCAAATTCCCCTGGAGCTCAACCCTGAAAACACGAGAATACTCCAGGGTTCAAGCAGGCCTAAACTCACCAAAATCTTTGTAAGACCATTTGTAGTTTGCTTTTTTTAAGGCCTACAGGGGAAAAGTCACAGAGTAGTGAGAGAGAAGAATACAAAGATTATAATGGCATTACTCTACTGTTCGTTATGTAGACCACCAGTTTACTGGGATTCTCTTAAATATACAAATTCCCAGCCTCAGAGCACTGAATCTGCTTTTATGGAAAATTTACACAGTCCATCACTATTATTTTCACTGCAAATTGAGTTAATTTGTAAATATGTAAGACTTTCCACAGCATATTGTCTAGTTAAATGTAAACTTTGACCACCAAAGGATAAAATACATGTTGAAAACCATCATAGCTATTAATTCCTACATGAGCAAAATACCTAACCTCCTGTTCTCTGATCGTTTTGCCTTTATAGCCAGAGTTATTAGGATTCTCAGGGCTACGTTTTATATGGTTCCTTTTAATAGGCTTGTTTTATTTATTTCCCTTATTGAAGCATGAGTTATCATTGCTAAAAGCCAATGTTTACATACTGGTGGGTTTTGAATGCTCAGAATAGTATTGTAAACTTGGGGAGAGTTACAGTGTTTTGGTAACCATCATTTAATAGATGAATAGTGAAAGGGAGTTTGCAGGTTTTAAATTTAGTTCAAATTTAATCATTGTATTTCATATGCTAGTCAGAATTTTTGGGATTCCTGCCAATTTATTCAACCAAGTAACAAAGTAGACTGGAGATACAGCATTGTATCAGACACCATGGCTTCAATGACCTTATACTATAGTTGGGGGAGAGAGACATGAAAAACATACACATAGCTTAAAATGGTGTCAGACGATGGGTGTTATGAAAAACATGAAGTGCGGAATCAAGGGACTAGAGGTATTGGGTAGTGCTGTTTTATACAGAGCATTTCTGCTTAGATAACATTAGTGTAAAGATCTAAAAGATCCAAACCAAATGGATGAGCATTGCAGAAAGAGATCTTCTCCCAGGTGAGTTAATGGACTATTTAGACATCAGTCTTGGTATTTGACATCTAGTAAGACAAATCTGCCACCTTGTTTTTCTTGGAGAGTGTGTTGACTATTCTTGACACTTTACATTTCCATAACCACTTTAGAGTAACCTTGAATTCCGCCAGTTTTAGTTGGGATTACATTGGGGTCTATAATTATCCCTGTGGAGGTCTTTTGTGTGTTCTGTTAAATTTTATTCCTGAGGAACTTTATATTTTCTTCAATGCCATTTTCTGTTTGTTACTGATAGTATATATAAATACAGCTGATTTTTGTGTAATTTCATATCTAGGGAATATAACTTTTAATTCCAGTAGTTAAGCTTCTTTGACATTTCTGTGTACACAGTCGTCATGTGTGAATAATTTATTTTTTTATCTAACATTTTTACAGTGCTCTGAATTGTCCAACACTTTCTACATACTTTTAAAATATTAACTTATTTACTCTTCAGACAACTCTCTGAAGGAGGTATTTATTGTCCCCGTTTTATAGATGAGGAAACAGAGGCACAGAGTTAAGTATTTTGTCCAGGGTGACATGGCTGGTAAGTGGCAAAGCCAGGATTCAAACGGTTTTGTTTCTTCCCCTTTGATCTTTCTATCATGTATTTCTTTTTCTGGCTCATTTGCACTGGCTAGGACTTCAAGTGTAAGGTGCTGAATAACAACCATTAAGTATGATATTTGTGTGGATAAATTTGTAGATGCCCTTTATCAAGTTTATTAAGTTGTCTTTTAGTTTGCCAAGAGTTTTTACCTTGAGAAATATGTTGAATTTTATTGACTGCTATTGGAAGGGACATCTGTCATATAATTGTGATTTATTCCTTTAAGGGTTAATACAGTTATGGTTAATATGGTTAAAATATGAACTTGATTTTTCAAATATTATACAAACCTGGGATAAACTTCAGTATCAGAGTGCATAGGATTGGAATTATATCTTTTTTGAATGTTTGGTAAAAATTGTTGTTAAGGCTATCTGGGCATTGTGAATCATTTTTTAATATTATAGAAAATGAGATTTTCAGCTTGAGAAGCAGTTCATCTTTATCGATATAACATGAGCAGTAAGGAGTGGCAGGCTTTCTTCTGTAAGAGTTTACTAATCCTAGAATCTGTGAATTTTTCTGGCTCTATGGTAATGAGAGTTTTGCTTTTATTGTTTTTCTTTCCAGCCTTTTGCCTAATAATTGGAACACCTATTTCAACTACCTTTTATCCAGCATGGAGGAGGTAAAACTTAGATGCTTCATAGCACAGGTATACCAAGTGCCTCCAAATTCTGAATTCAGAATACTGGGACAAGAGAAATCTTAGAAAGAAAGAAACTCTAGGCTCTTGAGGATAAGGACCATGTCTTCTTTTTCCTATAAGTTATGTACTAATAAGTACTTTATATTTGAAGAGGAGATTGAGGATAAGCTTGCTATGATGGGACAGAATAACTGAGCAGCGGCAATGAGAATGTTTGTGGGCCTAGGCCTCAGAGTTGGTACCAGTCTCTTCATTACATTGTTAGAACAAGTTTTTGGAAACAAAGACAGTGACTGAAAAAGCAGTCACTTTTAATAAGGTTTTATATCACGTACGTTCATAAATGTAGGTGTATGACAGCCACTATGATGAAATTTGGAAGTTTTGCGTTCGTGAGCAAACAGCCAAGAAAG